GCAAGAGCTGAGTCCCTATCAAGGGTTTACTTGATTAAATCAGGCCAATGCAGGATAATCTTCCTTTTGATGGACTCAAAGTCAATTGATTAAGGACCTTCCTTAATAGCACCTGCAAGACTTCTGCCATATAATGTAACATAATCTCAGGAGTGATATCCCATCATATTCACAAGTTCCCAAGTCCTACTTTCTGACATTCAAGGGGAAGGGATTCTACCAGGTGGACTCCAGAGGTCACTTTAGAACTCTGTCTACCACAAGATGGAAGAGGTCTCTATTTCTGAGATCAAGCCAAGCTTTATCCCAGCAAAGATTGCGTCTTCTCTGATACCCTAAATTTGGAAGATACAAAGATGCCTAGAAACAAGTGGTTGCCAGAGTGGTTGTCTTAGCCTTGGGTTCCTAGGAGTCATGCCTGAGACAGGGATTCAATGCTGATGCTTATTTGGAAGGTACAGTCCCAGGGCAGTGAAAATGAAGGCAGCAGGGAGAAAGGCAGGGAAGGAAGGGAAGCAGTGCATGGTCAGGTGTCACTGATCATTGTAATGGCCACTGGTCCACAACAAGCCACAGGAGGCAGAGCTGATCATTCATCAGATGCACCCTTCTCTACCAAGCAAAACTTCCCTGGACAGGTTGTATGGAAACTCCGTGCCCTGGAGGAAGGAAGAGATAAATGAAACTATCTACCTGGCTTCTTCCTGTCTCCTGTTTTTCATTGACCAATTTGCTCCTTTGGGAGTTAACTCCCTGCATTTCCAGGTTGTGTCACTGGCCTGTTTGGGGAGCTGCTCTAGAAGCCAGATCCCATGCTCTGAGGTGTGGGTTCTTATTCAAGTCCATACTTGTCTGTATGGAAGTGTTCTGCCCTGGTGGCAACAGGTGGAGCAAGTGGCTGATGGGCTGGGAAGCAGGTGAGACCAGGAACTCACAGTGCATGGGGTGGAGCCATACAAACTCATCTCATAGTGGTGCAACTATAACAACATCAAGGAATGCTAGAAAGGGACACCAGAGAGCTCCTGCCATAGGGCAATTTGGGGAAATGGCCCAAAGGCAGGAACAATGGGAATAGAGGAGGGGGTTGAATCAAGACATATTCATTTATGTCAGGTATTTGTAGCTACGTTTTATTATAAAGGTAGTACATTTAAATAAAAAATGAAAATAGTACAGAAGTGTGTATAATGAAATGAAAGTCTTTTTTATGCCCAAGATTTCCCAGAGAAACCATGATTTTCCTATCTCCTCAAAAATGTTCTGGCTTACTTGTCTAGCTTGGATTAATAGTCCATAGACACACACCTGATCATCTACATTTGCCCTCTTACAGCACTAAACTATGTTTTCTACCTTTATCTTGCATCTACCTACCACTTCAGCATTTTATTAAAAATAAAAATAATAATAATAATAAAGGGAGAAATGTGGGATCAACATATAAATAAAGTATAAAAATCAAATGAATATTCATATTTGACCTGATTGTTTATAGTT